ATCTGATAAGAGGCTAGTATCCAAAAATGTATAAGGTCTCAACAGCAAGAAAACAAATAACCTATTCTAAAAATATATAAAGCACCTGAATAGACATTTCTCAAAAGGAGACACACTAATCACCAAAGATATATGAAGACAATTCTCATCATCAGGGAGATGCAAATGGGTACAATGAGACACCTCACATGTGATAGAATGATTATTATAAGCAATATGAAAGACAGTGCTGAGGCCAGCAACATGGCCCAGTGGGTAAGTTTGATGACTTGAGTTTGATACCTGGGGCCTACATGGTAGACGGAGAAAACTGACTTTTGCAAGTTGTCCTCTGACCTCTACACCCATGTTGTGACATGTGCATACATAAAAATAATTTAAAAATTATAATGATAGAGCCATCAAGGGCATGGAGAAAGGAGACTTGTATACTGTGGATGAGAATGTAAATTAATGTAGTCATTAATGGAGAACAGTGTTAGGGTTCCTCAGGAAACAAGAAATAGAATTATCATTTTGGTTCAGCAGTCTCACTTCTGGCCATATAGCCAAAAAAAAAAAAAAAAAAAAAAAAAATCGAAACTACCATGGCAAAGAACTCTCCCGTGTTCATTTCAGCATTATTCACTATGACAAAGGTGTGAAATCAGTCTGCCTTCATTGTCAGAGGGTGTGGTGTTGGTGATAATGAAATACTATTAGGTCATGAAAAGGGGGAAACTCCTGTTGCTTTCAATAGGGATGAACCCAGAGGACACTGTGTTAAGTAAAATGAGCAAAATACAGAAGGACACAGACTACATGGCCTCAAGCGGGGCTTCTAAGAGTCCAGAGCACAGAAGCGCAACATCCAGCCATGGCTACTAGAAGTAGAGGGAAGGTGTGGATGAAGATTGGGTGATATTCATCAAAGTTGCAACTGAGAAGAATGAGCTTCAGTTGTCCATTGTAAGGACAACAGATGTTAAATATTAAACAACAATATATCTCATCTTTTCAAACTGCCAAAGGGGATTTTAAATGCTTTCACAACCCCAAAATTCTAAGTACATGAGATAGTCTTGTTTGTTTACATGATTTAATCATCCCATAGTGAAAACATTTATCAAAAACTAACATCATCTGCCAGCTAAAAGTAATGTTATAAAGAAGGTTGCTTTCTCAGATAAGACTTCCCAGCTGTCCTATTTAAAGACACATTACACTCTGCAACGCCACTCCAAGTTCTTTACCAGTACATACTTCAAGCCATAGCTACTGGTTCATCTGTTACCAGTTTGTCTTTGCCAGACCTAACTCTTTCTGGGGCCATAGTAGTAAGGGTTACAAGATAATTCCTGCTGTTGGGGTTGACCAGAAGTTTGTAAGGAGGCGTGCCTGGAGGAACACACCTGTAAACTCGGTTTCTTGGGAAGTTGAGACTGGGTGTTCAAGAGTTCAAGCTCAGCCTGGGCTACATAGTGAAGCTCTGTCTCAAAATAACAAGTAAAAAAAGGGCTTTCAGGAAGACAGAAAAATTTAGAGGAGGCAAGGTTGATGGTGATGGTTGAATTTCTACCAGTGTGAGGTAGATCTGAGTTCCCAAAAAAAGAGACTGTTAAGTAAACTGCACAGTCTCTTCAACTCAAATATTTCACAAACTTTTCATCCAGTAATTTAAAAATAGAGGCATTTCAATTCCCGTAGTGACCAGTAGCTTGTTGGGATTAGCCCCTTCACAGATGATAATCATGAACTTTGCAGAAATATTTCAAAGAAAACACTTGATGTTGTTAGAATCAAAAAGTAGATGCACTGTGGAGGAGAGTCCCTGCCCTGAAGAAAGGTAGCCACCCCACATCTGCCCAGGTGAAATGGAAAGTGTGGCCCAGAGAAGCTGGAGAGAAGGCAAAGAGCTGTGGGTTTAATGGTTTAATGGGCAGCATACAAATGGATGGGAGAGTGTGGGAAGTCAAGAGATGTTTCAGTTCCTCTCAAGAGGATCAGTCAAGGCTTTGCTAAAACTGCACTACATCCCCACCCCTCCCTCAGACCAATTCTGTTTTTCTTTCTAGCTGACAGTTGTTCATTGGGGTGGCACTCTTCAATAGGCCTGACTTTAAGACACTATGGAGAGAGAAGTCTATCTGACGAACCAACCTGATACAAAACATTGGAAAGGTTTTTTAAAATATATATTCTTGTCAAGTGCAATAGGACATCATCAACTGCAATAGAACATCATTGAGAGATCATACTGAACCTTTAAGTTAGTCTCGGGGATACAGAGGTGGCCTCATCTGTAAGATTCTTGCCATGTAAATTTGAGGACTGGAATTGTGGTCTCTAGCACCCAGGTAAAAATCTAGGCACAGCAGTGTGCATTAGTGCCTTGGAGAGGTGTGGCTTGACCAGAAAGGGGTGCAGGGGAACTTTCTGAGGTGACAGAAGCAAGCCAGTGCCACCCCACATTATCATTTAACAAAGAAGTGGACTGTAAAGACTTTGAATTTTACTTTAAGTAAAATCTATAATAATAAAATATAAAAATATGACAGAAACATATAGTTCAGTTCCATGGCTTAAGTAGTCCTTGTTCTTGATCTCAAATCAACAGTGAGGTTTGAATAATTGTTCTTGTGTTGGTGAGATGGCTCAGGCACAGACAGGAAAGGCACATGAGTTCAGTCTCTAGTCCCACAGAGTGGAAGGAAATACTGATACCTGCACATTGTTCTCTGGCTCCCACGGAGTGTGTGCACACACCTACATCCAAATACACACACATATCCACCAATAAACAAATGGAATAAAAGATTTCCAGAAAATAGTGTGTGTGTGTGTGTGTGTGTGTGTGTGTGTGTGTGTGTGTGTGTGTGTGTTTTGTCTGTTTCAGTTACCATAACAAAATGCCACAGACCATATGGTTTAAACAGCAGTAATTCATTTTCTCACAATCTGGAAGTCTGACAGCAGGATGGCAGGATGTAGCATGGTGGGGTCTGGTGAGGGCCACCTTCCAGCTTGCAGACAGCTGCCTTTATTTGTGTCCTTACAAGATGCAGAGGGTGTCCCTCATAAGAAGAGTTCTACTCTACCTGGGATTCACCATCAATACTTACCCAATTCCAATCACCTCCCAAAGGCCTCTCCTGTTGTCTTTGGGATTGAGATGGTCTGTATGTGAAATGTGTTGCTGATTGGTCAATAAATAAAACACTGATTGGCCAGTAGCCAGGCAGGAAGTATAGGCGGGACTAACAGAGAGGAGAACTGAGAGAACAGGAAGGGGGAGGGTGAGACAGCCAGTCGCTGCCATGACAAGCAGCATGTGAAGATGCCGGTAAGCCACAAGCCACGTGGCAAGGTATAGATTTATGGAAATGGATTAATTTAAGCTGTAAGAACAGTTAGCAAGAAGTCTGCCACGGCCATACAGTTTGTAAGCAATATAAGTCTCTGTGTTTACTTGGTTGGGCCTGAGCGGCTGTGGGAGTGGCGGATGACAGAGATTTGTCCTGACTGTGGGCAAGGCAGGAAAACTCTAGCTACAGAGGTGGGCAGAGCCACAAGCCACAGAGGCCATTTTGGTCTTGCAAATGCTGCAGTTTAAAGCAATAGTTACACAATAAGGCAGATACAGATGAAACAAGACTTTAAAATGCTTTACAATGTGTGTAAAAATGTATGTAGGCTTGGAAGAGAGAGAAAAAGGAATATATACAGTTATATAAAGAAATACATAGTTTTTAAAAATAAAGTCTTTAAAGAGACAGTAAAGGTAGTATAAAAAATAAGCCATGTAAAGATGGCTACCACACAGAGAATATAGGTGGGACTAACAGAGAGGAGAATTGAGAGAACAGGAAAGGGGGGGGAGACTGCCAGCCACCACCATAACAAGCAGCATGTGAAGATGCCAGTAAGCCACGAGCCACGTGGCAAGGTATAGATTTATAGAAATGGGTTAATTTAAGATATAAGAACAGTTAGCAAGAAGCCTGCCATGGCCATACAGTTTGTAAGCAATATAAGTCTCTGTGTTTACTTGGTTGGGCCTGAGCAGCTGTGGGACTGGCGGGTGACAAAGATTTGTCCTGACTGTGGGCCAGGCAGGAAAACTCAAGCTACACTCTCCTCCAAATCTCTTCTCACTGGGGATCAGATCTTCAACATATGAACTTATGTGGGGGGGATCTCAATCTTCAGCATTATACATTCAAGAAAATTAGGAGAACACAAATAAACAGAAAGAGGTCAAAAAACATGGGTTACCAAAATGTATTCACTGCTATGATTTATTTTTAATTTCTAAGTGGTGTTACTTTTCTATGGCTGTAGTTATCTTATACATGTAATTTTGTGTTCTGATTCTTTTCTGTCAGTGCTGGGGATCTAAGTCAGGGTTTCCTGCATGCTAGACCCCTCTACCACTGAGCTATAGCCCCAGCCATTTAAAGTTTTTATATATTTGTTCATCCATTTAATTCTGAGAGAGGCTCTTACTAAGTCATTCACGCTGGCCTTGGACTCACTATAGGCCAGGCAGGTCTTGAACTATTGATGTACCTGTCTCTGCCTCCAGTGTAGCTGTGACTGCTGGCATGTGCCAGCAAGGGCAGACTTGATGTGTTTAACATTACAACATGAAACTTAGTTTTGTTACTAAAGATGCTCCGTCTGAACCCTTTTTTGAAGGGACAGAAACAATTCACCAAGTGACTGTGTCATCCTGTGGCTGAATATTGAGTGGCTTTCCAGTATTTTAAACAGTGTCAGTAAGGCTGTGGTAAACCTATGTATGCATGAGGTTTTTACATGTTACTTAGATTATTTTTCTTAGTGTAGAATTCCTGAAAATGGAAGTTGTATGCTTTTAAGGCATATTGCCAAATAGTCTCTCAAAGTGTGTCCCAGTTTTCAAAGCCACCAGCAATGGGCTGAAAATGTCCTTTATCTGTTTGCTTTTAAAGGGGAGAAGGCTGGTTCCACTAATGTGCTTACTGGATTCTTTCCAACAGGTAAACAGAATCCTGTGAAGCCCACTTCTGGTGGTGTAGAACCCCTGGGCTCCTCGGACCCCAAGCCTCCTGCTCCCTGCCGCTGGCAACCTGCACTTTGAGCCTTACCTAGCTGCTTTTGTGTGGACGGAGGCTTCCCATCTGTCGCAGCCATGAACTTCCTCCGGAGGCGTCTGTCCGACAGCAGCTTTGTAGCCAACCTGCCCAATGGCTACATGCCGGACCTGCAGCGCCCAGAGAGCTCCAGCAGCTCCCCAGCATCCCCGGCCACAGAGAGGAGGCACCCCCAGCCCCTGGCTGCCTCTTTCTCTTCTCCGGGATCCAGCCTGTTCAGCTCCTTCTCCAGTGCCATGAAACAGACCCCACAGGCCCCCTCGGGGCTAATGGAACCACCCACTCCTGTCACCCCCGTGGTTCAGAGACCCAGGATCTTGTTGGTGATTGATGATGCCCACACAGACTGGTAAGCAGCTTCAGGGATGGAGCCTGCATGGGGCTGTCTCACCTCTTGGGAAGACGGAATGAAAAACCAAGTGCTATAAAAGGCTTATATGGTTTCTGAGGCTAGCTGGGAGCAGGAGGGGTTTACCAAAGAGAAGCTATATGCCTTTTTCCCCTCCCTAGGGGCCTTACACCAACAGATCCCCCTCTGCAAATTGCAAGTCTAACAGTTCTAAAATAAACAAACAGAGGTCCCTAGTCTGGAAAGTTCCCTGTGTATGCTGTAAACATCTTTTCTTTTTTTTTCTTTTCTTTTTTTTTTTTCCAAGACAGGGTTTCTCTGTGTACCTTTGCGCCTTTCCTGGAACTCACTCTGTAGCCCAGGCTGGCCTCGAACTCACAAAGATCCGCCTGCCTCTGCCTCCCAAGTGCTGGGATTAAAGGCGTGCACCACCACTACCCAGCATGCTATAAACATCTTAAAGGTTATGATATGGGTGCTGGGAGTGTTCTAGAGACACAGCACAGAAACCATATAACCTTTCTGAACAAGCCAAGTCCTCAAGCCTGAAATACACCTGGCAGTGTTTCCCAGGTTCCCTCCACTCTGCCAAATGAGGGTGTTAGGAGGGCGCAGGAATCAACAGAAGCTCACAGTTCTTATCCTAAACTCTTGGGAGCAGGTGACCCACCCTTGCATCCCATTTCTCCCATGAGCTTGACCTCTGACACCCAAGTGGGCAGGAATGACTAGTTCTCCAGCCTCCTCCAGACAGTAGGTTCTGAAAGCAGAGGCCTGTCCACTCACTGCGGTCATCATTCAGCAACTGACCAGTCACAGAGCACCAGATCAGCACAAAGGTTGTGCAGGATCAGATGAGGTGCTCATGTGGGGCTGCCTAGGGGAATAAGTCTGTACCCCAACTTTGGGGTCCTGGAGGTAACAAATACTGTAAGTCCCATTAGAAGACAGCGTTTACAGCTAATGACATCGGCCCAAGTGTGGAGATAATGAAGCTCTGTACCCAGAGCAGAGCTGAACCTGTGGAAAGCAGAGTGGTTCTGACAGTAGACGCATGCATGGTGTGTGCGTATCTCCTAATCTCCAGACTGGCATATTGTCTGCACCCAGCATCCCCAGGGAAGTGAACTCAGGTTGGGGTTGACTGAGCCTCTGCTTTGCAGTGGAAGCTGCATTCGTGATGTTCAGCAGTGTTAAAGTATTCAGCTGATTTAGGCGGCAGACTTCACCTTTCCAATCAGAAGTGACCTCTTTACTGTTAATTGCTTTAGGCCTGGAACTCACTATGGAGCCAAATCTGAGTTCAAACTCACGGGTGAGCTTCCTGCCTCTGCCTCCCGAGTGCTGGGATTACAGGTGTGAGCCCCCACACTCAAACTAGAAATGACCTCATCTTAAACAGGGTGGCCTGGAAGTTGCCTCTGTCTGGTCCAGTCTGAGTTGTCTTCTTTTCTCAAAGGCTTTTGTATCCCAGGCTTGCCTGTGTCTGCTGTACACGGGCACAAAGCTCACCCTGGGGTTGTGTACCTGAGGCTTGGTATCTTTGGAGGTTTTGCTCCCAGGCCCTTATCCAGGGGCAAAGCGCCTGCCCCTCTGCCCAGTAATTAACTGGCTGCAGTATCCTTGGAGTCTCCGGGTGCTATTTAATCCAACTTTTTTTTTTACAAGCCTGTCTGTGTGTGGTATGTGGGTACATGTATGTGTGTTAACAAATATGCTGTGTGGAGACCTGAAGTTAACATCAAGTGTCTTCCTGGGCCAGTTTCTACTTTGTTTAGAGACAGGATCTCTCAATGAATCCAGAGCTTACCGTCTCCTGCTAGATTAGCTAACCAGTTTGCTCCACCACCACCACCATCACCATCACCATCACCATCACCACCACCACCACCACCACCACCACCACCACCACTACCACCACCACCATCACCACCACCACCACCACCGGATTACCTACCAGTGGCCACCATGCCTGCCAGGCTTTCACTGGCAGGGATCTGGACTCCAATCCCCACACTTGCAAGTCAAACACTTTATCCACTGAGCCATCTCCCCAGCCCCTAACCAGACATTTGGCCTCCTTCTGTGCCAGGTTTCAACCTCTGCCTCGGCTGTGTGTTTGGAAGTGGAGTTGAACAGTGGAGGCGCCATGCCATGGTATCAGAGTTCCTGCGCTGTCTCCCAAACCCCTGCAGCCATGCAGCTCCTGTAATCTGCTCTGCTAAATGCAGTGCCTGCCTCATAAAGGGGCTTTGTGGGCGTGGGTAACATCCAAGTTAGTATAAAAGTACCCAACTGCTGTGGGATAACGCATTTGTACATTGGTTGATAAATAAAATGCTGATTGGCTGGTAGCCAGGCAGGAAGGATAGGTGGGATAAGCAGACAAGGAGAATTCTGGGAAGAGGAAGGCTGAGTCAGGAGATGCCAGCCCGCTATCCATGTAATGGCACACAGGTAAAGCCACAGAACACGTGGCGACATATAGATTAACAGAAATGGGTTAGTTTACATGTAAGGGCTAGTCAATAGGAAGCCTGAGCTAATGGCTGAGCAGTTTTAATTAATATAAGCCTCTGTGTGTTTACTTGGGTCTGAGCATCTGCAAACCAAGCGGGACACAGGAAAACTTCCAGCTACACCCAACAGCTACTAAGTGCCATTTTAGTATATGTGCATGCTATTATAAAGGACTGTGACCCTCTCTCTGTGACATTGATCATGACAGCAGTGCCTTCAGGCCTTCTTGGTTTGTGCCTTTATCCTCAGCATTGTGCAGAAAGGACAGGGTTTATCCCCTTGTGCCCCCTTTCCTGTTACCCATGCCTTCCTGCTTGGCCCCTGAGTAGTTGACTCAGATCGAAACTGCTCTGTCTACCCATAGAGCATATGGCACCGTGGCAAGTCACAGTGGACAAGACTGGGACCCATCCAAGTAGCATTTAAATTTGGGCTTTGGTCATCAAGCTCCTGAATTTACAGGAATGAAGAGTGTCTACGTCTTAGGCGCCGCTCCCTTGGGGGTGGGAGCTGGAGATCAGTGTATTGAAACTGCCATCACCCGCTCACACTTTCATCAGGTCTGAAGAACAACAGTGTTTGCTTCCTGGCTTTCTTCCTGCCCTTTGGTGGGGAAAAGAAACTGACGCTTGTGGGCTCACCTGGGAATTGGTTCCATAGTCACGCATGTTTGTGACTGAGAGACTTCCCACCACAGACCCATCTGCTTCTTCTCTGAACTCCATTGAATCTTCCTGAACTTTCTAACCTCTCAGCATCACAAGTAGCATCCCAGTTGTCTCCAAATTAATGCTCACTGGGTACCTAAAATGGGTCTTGCTGGTTGTGGTGGTCCACACATGTAATCCTTACACTCAAGAGGCTCAGGTTGGGAGAATTTTGAGTTCAAGACCAGTCTTGGCTACATAGGGAGGCTGTTGCCAGAACTAAAAACATGCAGACATCAGAAGATTCTCAATCCTGCCTACAGAATTCTCCAAAAATGCCTGGCCATAGCTACCAAAAGTAGCCAGCAGGTGGCAGGCTAGCCCCATGGTCCAGTGTATCCTGGCAGAACCAGCTGCCTCGAGGTCCGTGCTTCTCCTCAGCTCCTCCTCCTTTGTGTGAAGGTCTCCAAAGGGGAGGAGGTTGTGAAAAGGGAAGAAGCCAGCTCCCACAGCTCCTTCCTTCCCTTTTGAGATGCTAATGAGGTGGGCATCTACTGTCTGGGCTGAGAGTGACCCCACCCCCAGCCCCCACAAGCATGCTGCTGGCCCCTTCCTGACCCTTCTCAGACTGAGCCCTGCAAACTGTCTTCCTTTTCCTGGTCCTGGGCCAATCTGTCTCATGAGGTTTCCTTGCTAGCAGAGGGTGTTGTGGGAACTCATGCCTTTTTGGGGAGTCCAGCTGGCAGATTATTTAAACCCGTGGGCCCCCTTAATTCCACCTAAGAACTGGCTAGAGCTCTGGGGAAGAGAACTTGCATTTATTTTATTTTTTTCTTAATTTTCTTCCCACCTAGTCCCTCAGTGACAATACCCTTTGAGAAAATGACATGCCCCCTTATAGCAACCATTAACAATCATCAACTCCTCAGGAAAAGGGGGGTGGGGTTGTGGTTACCTCCTCTTTCTAAAATGGAATATGGGAGGGTCCAATCTTAGGCAAGTATCCATAGCAGCTGTGTGTTCATGGTTACAGTAACAACGTCATATCTGGATGGCAATGTTTCATGACACTCCTCCCCACCCTCCTACTCTTCCATTCTTTCCGCCCTCCCTTCTGTGATGTTCCCAGGCTTTGGTGTGGGGAATGATATAGGTGTCCCTATATGATATAGGGATGGATGCTCATCAATCACTTATTGTCAGCACTTGGACCAGATACTAATTTTGCATTAACCAACATCCTCTGCAGAAATGGAGCTTTTCTGCCCCAGGCTGAGAACAGCGTTAGTCTATGGGTGTAAACATAAATATTTAGAAGGTGGTTGACAGTTTGTCCCTGGAGAGAAACGGTAGAGGGATGTTCTCCCTTTGAGCCCGCGCCCTTCCCTACCACAGGCTTTTGGTCAGGTTTATAGTGTTTTGTATTTTCTGAAGAGAAACTCAGATCCCCAAAGCCGCCTTTGCTGCAAGGATTCAGAGCTGAGCACTTTAAATGCAGCTTGGGAGATGAACCTAGGCAGGGCAAGGGTCTCTAGAGAGCTTCTGGCCACACTGCTGGAGGTCTGGTTTAGTGGCAGGTCTGTCCTCTGGGATGGGGCAGAGCAATCAGTCTTGGGAACCACAAGAGAAAGGAGTGAGCAAATGATTCCGTTTCAAGCTGTTGTCTTTAGCCTGCTGCCCCTGTACTGGCTCATGTGCCTAGAATTTCCAGCAGTTTCCCTGGCTTCAGGCTTCCAGTCCTGACCTTGTCTCCTGGTCACCTTCTAACCTAGCATCACAGTATCCTCTCTGGATAAGCAGTTTCCACCCTTTGATAGTGCATCACCAGCCTAA